TTTTTTTTTTTTTTTTTACGGAAAAAGTTTAAACACGCATCATAATCTTTGATCATTCTAATACCTCATTACTTACTTACTGCTCCCGGCTCGGTGTCGTATGTGAGTAAAGTTGTTTGTTGGTTCTTTCCTGTGATATGAGGGTCTTTCTCCGGGTTCTCTGGTTTTCTTCCCTCCACAAAAATCAACAAAAAAATTATTTGGAATTTCAGTGGATGAAGAACCGGCTGTCTGATGTAAAGAGCCATTGTTAAATCTTATTTATCTTATCATCTTATTATTTTTTTCATTATATTGCATTGTGCCAATACGGCTGCCAGAACAATTATAGAACCACTCCGCTCCAATCAAATGCCTTGCCGCCCACCCTTGATTGTTTCTGCGTTTCCACAGCTGTCTCAATTTATCATTATTTTGAAAAATGCAATCATCAACATAGGCAGAAACGTACGTCATGCAAGTTGTTTTCCATTACTTGGGTTTTTGCGGCTTAGAAACCTTATTTTAATTTTTAATGGCACTGCCGTCTGACACACAATGTCATTAGTGTTATCATGGAAAATTCAAGGAAAAATTAGTTTACCTTCTTTTGATCATGAGTAACAGTTCAAATAATTAAAATGTAACTTACCATAAGTCGGTATATTCAGTAGCCAGGTTTGTAGTCGTCGAAAAATAATTGCAATGCCGTGCGCCAAGTTAAAGGTTTGCGGGACAAGTATGTGAACCATGCACAGTAAGGACTGATTCATAACTAACGTTTCAGTTTTTAAAACAAATTCTCGGAAATAATTGAACCTCTCAACTCAGTACAACTATTATTTCCTCGATCATCGATCTCCAGTTGCTTACACGATTGAAAACAATTTTAATTTCCTCTGCAAATCGAGATGATGCCTATAACAGATACTCAATCGAAGTAAAGCTAATAGAAAGACTAATTTTTAAAAAAATCTTAGCCAGCACTTGCTGATATGCCAATCATGTTTTATAATTACTTAAATTTTCCATTTCCAAGAAATAGTCTAAGCTGAAGGTCTTTTTATTTTGTTTATTATTCACGAATTGCTCATCTCAGCAAGAGTCAACATGGTAATGGTATTTTGAATTTATTTTTATAAAAATGCTTTCTATTTTGTGCGTACACTTGTAATTAATCCTGGTTGAATACTGAAAAAAAACTTATGTTTCAAATTCCTTTTTATATTTGATAGAAGGATTCAAGGTATATAGCGATGCAAGTAGTGCAGACGATCGTCAAAAACATAAGAAGGGAAACTCACTCGATTTACGGGTTATTTTCTCAAACGAATAAAACAATATCTAGAATTAAAGAGACTTATAAACACACGCGATATTTTTTTAAAAAGAGTAG